ATTCATCTAATCTTTATTAAACAATATGGGACTGTCCCAGTTCTCGGAAGCTTTCGTCGAATTAGATAATGCTTTTCTATGCTTTCTAAAGAACGAAGCTATGCTATTGGTTGAAACAGAAATGTATTGTGAAGTTCAGGCAATGAAAATCATTCTGGCGAGGAGCTGCGACACTACCCCACAATTTACACAATGATAATTTATAATGAAATTTATTGTTTTGTGTCAACCTTTTTCCTGATTTTAAGACTGTTTCGTCTCAATAGATAGATATAGATAGATAGATAGATAGATAGATAGATAGATAGATAGATAGATAGATAGATAGATAGATAGAAACTTTATTTGAATTCGGATTTATATTAGCAAAAAGTATGCTAGTATCTCCGAATTATTGAAAAGTTATATACAAATAAAAATTAAAAAAGAATACATATCTATAGTAATGACAATCTAAAACCATATATATATTTTTCCTTATCAATGATTTGAAAGAGTTTAGGTTTATAGCTGTTCTTTCAGTGTCAGATAACTCATTCCAATACTTTGGTGCACAGTATCTAAAAGAATTTAAACCGTACTTAGTAGTTCTAACTTTAGGTATTTTTAATTTAAGTTCACCACGAAGAGATGTGTATGTTCTCTTCTGCAACAGTTCTTGTACATAAGCAGGAGCTTCTTCATTTAAGGACTTGTAGACCAAGATAAGCATATCTTGAATGCGACGATGTTTAAGTGAAACAGTGTTACTTTCGTTTAACAGTGAATCGTAATCGCTAGTCTTATCGTTAAGGACATAACGTAAAGCACGCTTGTTAATTCTCTCTAGTTTTAGTTGATTCCGGGCACCACAATGATTCCATACAATGCTGCAATAGTTGAGATGCGAGAGTATGAAGGCATTGTAGATCTTCATTTTAGCATCACTTGATATTAAGTTCTTGAATCGATTTAGAACAGCAAGTTGAGAGCTAACCTTACGACAAAGATTAGATATATGCTTATCAAATTTTAGCTTATTATCTAAGTAAATACCAAGCAGATCGATGTTTTCCTCTACAGGGATAATGTAATCGTCTACTTCAAAATTATCATAATTAGATGAATTACCGAGCATCATTGCATGATATTTATCTGGGTTAGCTTTCATACCATTATTTGAAAACCAAGTATGTGCTTTGGTGAGCTCTTCATTAAGTGTATGTACCACTATATGAGGATCCTTACTTGAATGATACAGTTGGGTATCGTCTGCGTAAGAATGTGGACTGGCTCTTTTAGTGGTATAAAAGAAGTCGTTTATAAAGATGTTAAAGAGAATTGGTCCCAGTATTGATCCTTGTGGAACCCCGTTTATGATCTGTTCCCAATTTGAGTAACAATCATCAATCTCAACTCTTTGGTAACGATCAGACAAATATGATTTCATAAGTTGCAGACTTGCTTCATCAAAGCCATAAGCTCGAAGTTTGGCAATTAATAAATCATGAGGCAAAGAATCAAACGCTTTACTTAAATCAAGCACGATAAGTCCAACAACTGAACCATTGTCCAGTTCATGTTTCCAATCCTCTATAAGGTGTAACAATGCAGTCTGACAGCTGTGATGTTTGCGAAAAGCGGAAAGATATTTGCTCATTTGATCTTTAAAATGGGCTGATAGCTGAGAGTTGAGACATTTCTCATAAATTTTGCCAACAACGGGTAGAATTGATATTGGGCGTATTTGATCTTTAGTATTCGCCTTTGAGTTTTTAGGAATAGGAGTGACATCTGAACATTTCATTGCAACAGGGAAACTGTTGTTTTTAATAAGATAATTTAACAGTCCCGATAAAGGTTTCGCCAACACTGGAGCACCACACTTTAATATTTTGACTGGGACATTATCATGAGCTAGGGCCTTGGAGGGTTTAAGATCGTTAATAACTTTATTCACTTCGTTAGGACTGATGGTATTAAATTGGAATGTAGAATTGCTAAATGAATGTTCATATATAGCTTTCACACTTGGGTGTTGTCGTAAATCACGATGCAGAGCAGTCAATGTATTAAATCCTGCGGCAACATTAACAAAGTGCTGGTTCAAAATATTTGCAATTACAGTCTTATTGGTAACAACGGTATTATTTTCCTTCAGGTGGAAATCTGTACGGATATATGATTTTTTTGAATGTAGAAAGGGTTTAAATGTTGACCAAAATGCCCGTGGATTCTTAGTCCCCTCTTCAGCCTTATTCTTGAAATATTGTTTAATACAACGACGACGTAGCGTGACGGTTTGGTTTCTTTGAGTGCGATAATTTTCCCAGTCATCCGTTGATTTTGATTTAAGAAATTTTCTATGCAGGCGATTACGTGTCATAATTGATTTGCGGAGTTCCTTTGTCATAAATGGTACTTGATCACCACGAATAGTGCATTGTTTCAACGGGGCATGAAGTTCAATTACATTATTCAATAGCTTATTCCATGCCCAATTAACATCGTCAGGATCATCAAAAACTGCAGTAATATGAAAGGGAATTGCCACAATGTCGTCACGAAATTTGGCTGCGTCAAAAGATTTATAGCTACGATATTTGATGATTTTTGGCTTTGGTCTTGCAAGCTTGGTCTTCATGACAGAATAAATAAGTTTATGATCGATTAATTGAGTATCAATCGTTCCCGATGCCATAAAATTTTGAGGAAATGTTGTAAGCATGACATCAAGCAAAGTACTTGTCGTGTTTGTTATTCTGGTTCGTTCATTTATAATACAGTCCATGTCAAAAATATCACAAATATCTTTGAGGTCCATGGCATCGTAACCTATATTGTTATCTTGGTTCATTAGATCACAGTTTAGATCACCAACGAGTAATATGTTAGTAAAATCTATCGTAACGGCATCCAAAATTCTTTGAATTTCGGGTGACCAAACTGACTTACACAGACCAGGTGGTCTGTAGGCAGCGATTAACAGATATGACTTCTTGTCTAAGCTGATTTTGATAATAATGGTTTCTACAGATGTTGATTCAAGATGGACCAGACGGGTTGAAATAATGTTTGATCGCAAATAGACAACAAGGCCGCCCCCATGTTTGTTTCTGTCCTTTCGTATAACTTTGTAGCCGGGGATTGCAATTTGTGAGGTGGGAAAAGTAGCGTCAAGTTTAGTTTCACCAACAATAAATATATCACTCTCAATGTGTGAATACAGAAGGTTTGATGAACATGTGTTGGATTATTAACTTAGAAAAGAACCAATCTCGTCGAATTATAGCCAGCTAAGTACAATTTTTCGAGCTAAAAAAGTTATCTTTACGAGAGAAACATCGTAGACTAACTATAGTTGTGGACGTAAAGTCATTGTGGACTAACTAAATATAGAGAACAGTCAAACGTTAATTAAAAATTTTTACACATCAATAGGGATCAAGGACAGCACTTCCGAAAAAACATATAAAATATAATACAAGATTATTATAAATCATGATATTGACATTAATTAAATCTCACGCGAGATCTTGCGTGCACTACACGCATATGTGTAAATATACAAAATAAGGTAGGGGAAATGTATCGAAAGTCACAATTACAATGTAGACATTATCGACCCACTGTACGCTCAGGTGATTCGGCGAAATATTTCACCCTTCTGTAATGATTTTTCCCCGCAAGATCCAGGCCGAGTCCTCCTCTGGCAGAGGGTGTGATATGGGCTAAATAATATTACGATTATGTAAACGTAACTAAGATGATATTATATGAATCATGTAATCGTCGGGATTTTGATTTACAATCGACTTTCTTTTCATCAAAGACCATGTGTAAAAAAATTAGATGTTATTCCTGTCATTCTTTTCAGACCGGTATTCCTGCGATTGATCTTTTCTCTGAAGTTATACCCAACACATTTCGGTTCTTTCTGGCAGAGTTCGAAACACTCTATTGGGACAATCCTTGAGTTGACAGTATGATTTATCAGATTTAATTATATGATTTCATATGAGCGTAAAGTGGGAGCGCCTAATTTCCCTAAAAGTAGCAAATATGGTTGGGAAATGTCGAGGGGAAAATTTCTTTCAAACGGTTGATTCACCGCATCACGTCTGATTTAAGACATGGCAAAACATTCTTTGAAATGAATACATAGGCTAGTCGTAGTCGTCTCTAATGATTTGTGAATCGTGGGAAAACAGTTCTAGCTGTGGAGTGATCATGCAATTTTAATCACCAGCAAGAATTGATAATATTTTTATCTTAAACATGATCGCATTTCACCAATTTCGCTTTCTAAAACATTCGTAACAATTAACGTGTTATCCCAGAGGTGTTATGAAAGCAAGTGAAAGGAAAAGTAAATTCTTGAGGGGTTTCATACATTATTCATGCATGTATAATGTTCATCATTTTGATTGTTTAGTCTTTTACTCTTTGGATTATCAATACACTTGTTTCTATAGGCGTGAAACGTTATCTTTGGAAGGAACATCATTATGTATAAATCAAGAATTTTCTTCACATCATTTTGTATAGATCAATATAAGTCAAATTTTTAGACAGCGTAAGCAGTAAGCTCGTATTCATGAAGGATATATGTCCGTGAGTTGGATTTTTTTAGCTACAAAAAAATCCTTGAAACTACTACGATTGCAATTGCATTGTTTTTCTCTTTTTGACCTCTTGAGATAGTAACTTTGTTTTAAACATGAACTATATAATTTCATTATTAAGTAATTTACTTTGTAGGTACACCACGTAATTATTTAATACTGCAAAGTTTTTGGTCCATCAACCCGGGCCTTCATCAGTGCAATTACCAGTGAATGCACATTTAGGTAATTGTATTGATGAAGGCCCAGGTTAACGGACCGAAAGCTTTGCTGTATTAAATACTTACGTGGTGTACCTACAAGCTAAATCACTTATTCATGTTACCATGCAAACATACAATAATATTATATATTATTATATCATTATATTACTATTTCTACATTACTATACTTTGATATATAACGTGCTTGAAAGCATCGAAAACAAGGTAATGTTTGTTCGTAATGGTGGTGCAGGAATACATTAAAACTGACTTGGACGAATTTTCATCTCCGTCATTTTCATTGAATAACGATGCCATTTGCTCCATTTTATCCCATTGTTATGTGTCTCATCTGCACCCCGGTACAGGCCATTGAGGTTGGATGTATGACCTTTATTGTACCACCAAGCACCTTGGAATATCGAAGAAGAATTCCGTAGTTGAACATCATTGTCGCTATCCTTGGTAGTGAACTGAATTCCATTGTGCCAAGCAAGGGAATCATTTGCGTTTCCTTTCGTGAGAATAAACAAAAAGTAATAAATTCAATTTTTTAGTTCACCGTATTTTTATGTTTAATGCACTCTTTCAGGATTTACCATATTAGTGATATTACTGTTACATTTATAAAAAAATTTAACTAGATCGGCTATTGATTTCATTTTAGTCAATCTTTGGTTGAATGTTTACATATTAAATTAAACTTAAAAGCCCGTTTTCATGAATAATATTTTTTAATTTCTGGGAACAGGACTTGAAAATGTGTTTTGATTCTTCTATTTTGATTCTTCTATTTTGTGTTCTTCTATATCACTCTTGAGAAAAACTGTTCGCTATATTGGTTTTGCTACTCGGGATAACTCATATACCATGATACTCAGTAATCCCTTGATGCTCAGTAATTATCGGGGAATATTCACCTCGACTTTGTCGCGGTGAATACTCCCCGATAATCAGCTCGCCTTCGGCGAATAATTGTTTGATATCAAGCGTCCAACTCGGACTGACTCGTCTTAATATAAATACAGATAGGCTTTACAAAATTTATCTGGCGTGTGTTTTACCTGAATAACTGGCAATATTCAATCTGTATTTGTCTGATTCATCAGCCACACTAAACATTTCATATTTAGCGTAACGTTTAGCGCCATTGAAATCCATCAAATCAACTCTTAGAACGTTTTGGCCAGATTTCGTCAAACGATGTATTTTATCAAGGCCCAACCAGAACTCGCCGCTCAAATTACCAAAGCCTGCTTTATAGTCTGACCATCCAAGGTAGAAATCTTGACTTCCATCTTCTCGTCTTTGAAACACGGTCCAGCCTCCCCCGTCGATGCTCATATCACATCTGACTTGAAACGATCCCTGGCCGTCAGGATTGATAGTGTAAATACCATCTTGTCTTATTCCTTCGTTGTAAAGATAGGCGCAGCTGGTAGCTATGCAATTACGAAATGTGAAAGAAATATTAAAAATATTGCAGAATAGGAACATGATCTTTCAAAAGGTTATACATCACATTTTGACATTGTATGCATCATTCCATGTTCTTATTTGTAAAGAGTTATTTAGTTGATAAAGCGAGATATATTTATATGATAATGCATGTGCGCAATAAAGCCTATTTACATTATGATCTTGCGGCAATACCTTTATCATCGTTCATTAATATCCATTCTCCTTCTCCCTTCATTGCGGTGTGATTTGTCTTGCCAGTGAGGTTGGCCAGTTGGCAGTTCACAACATTCATCTTGTCTCTGTAGTTGAATCCAACACATTTTGGTTCCTTTTGGCAGAGCTCGAGACATTCTATCTTGACAAACTCTGAGTTGACGGTATGATTTGATTTGGTTTCGTCTGGGCGTAAAGTCGACCCTCCTAAAAGTAGCAAATAGGTTGGGAAATGTACAAGGAAATTGTTCTGAAACATTAAACAAATGACTGCATGGTTTAGGATCTGGCAAGGATAGAATAGACACACCTTTTTTAATAGCTTTATAAACTCTTTGAGAGCAGTAGTTTTGAGAAATGATACATGTCATTTTAGCGATAAGTAAGATCAAAGTTATAATCTTAAACATCATGACATGAATGAGGTCGCCAACGTTGCTTTTTCCAACATGCGATGGCTGAAATAACGTATAATTTACAAAGCAGGTGAAAAGTTGTGCGAACACTTTGCGTCGTCTTATACATTTTTGACAGAACTTTTATTAAAAATTTATCACAGTGAAAATTTATTACAAATTTGAATGTATACTTTCATAATTATTTGTTAACCCGCATGATATTAATGACATGGTAACTGAGTGTTTGAATACAGCAGAAGGAATGATTTGTATAACAATCCATAACTTAGCGCAGAAATTGCTCTCAGGAGTATAAAAGTGCGCAAATTAGATTAAACTGAGCAATGGTCAATGTAAGCACTATACAAATTAGAGCGATGCGCAAAAATCATTATAATTATTTAGTATATCACACTGTGATATTGATTGATCGTACTGCAAGGACTTACACGCATGAATAGAATTAAAAAAGTGTAGTAGAAAATATATTGAAATTAAAGCTATAAATTATATTAATCTTTTAGATCTTCTATAAGATAGCGTAAAGTGAAATCTCCTAAGAGTACTAGCCAATACGGAGCGAAAAAGTGCATTCTATGAAATGAAAACTCAGTTCTAATGATGTTGTTTTAATGATGACCACCATAGGAAGCCCAGACAAATGAGTTGAAGTCAATAAAAATACGTAAAACACTTGATATATGAATGTGCTAAAATAAATTAAAGTATGTAATTTTCTACAAAACTACTGTTAGAGCAATGTATGCAGCGTGCTCCAGTGGCGCTGCCATTTGACTGTGCAACTAGCGACGTAACTTACTATATATTAAGCTATGATGTTTATTAAACAATTTACACCGAATTTTTTTGCAATTTATGATGAATTTAATTGTTTCGTGTCAATTTTTCCCCTGATATTAAGACTATTTTGCTTTAATGCGTGGAGATGTAGACAGCAATCAAACGTTATTCAAAAAATTGTTTTCCTCAATATTATTATAAATCCTGCAATTGATATTAAATCTCACGCGAGATTTTGCGAGGACTACACGCATTGGCCGTATTAAACAATATAGTAAGAAACATCAGGAAACATCTAGCGACAATAAATAATCAAGGTATCGACATTATCGACCCACTGTGCGCTCAGGTGAATGGGCGAAATAATTTATCCTTCTGTAATGATTTTTCCGTGTGAGATCCAGGGTAAATATTCTGACAAACAGGTGAGACTCAGGTGATGAGTTTTTCACATAAATGGGTGAATTACTAGTTATTATACAGAGTACCAACTCTCGCGTCGAAGAATGGGAATTTCGTAACAGTTGTACATGCAGAAATATCTTAAAACAGATTTGGATGAATTTTCATCTCTGTCTTTTTCATTGAATTGTATAGGACATTTTCCAAAGGTACCAATTTATTTCGCTGCTACTAGTCTACTTGAGGTTGGAATGATGACAGTTGTTGCGCCATGAAGCTCCTTTGCACATCACAGCACAATTCTCACTATCTAGAACATCATTTTTGCTATCCTTGGTAGTGAACTGCATTTGACTTGCGTCACCATTCAAGAGAAGTCAAAAACAATGATGGTCAGTTTTTTCAGGTAAACTAATTTCAGCTCTTATGTACTTTTCTCAAAAGTATTGGGTCTTTGCCATAGAAAACTAACACCGCATGTATACGAACCTCTTTGTCTGTTGAAACATACACCATTTGCCGCAAACTTTCATTCAAGTTTGTTTTCCAATAGGTTCTAAAAATGCTCGAATTATCTTTGGGATCAACAATTATTAAAGAGGATCCTTGATTAGGCAATTGAAAAAATTTAACTTAACTGGAGGCATAAATCTTGATATTTGATATAATTATCACACTGAGTTAATAACTATCGTCTTGTAAAGACTATACGCTTTAAAAACAAAATTAAGTAATAAAGTGGGAAAAAATATAGCGAAAGGCCGAAAAGCCTGTATATATATTTGATTATATACGCTGGGAATTTTAATATCAAGAAATTGTTTATCTTCATTGCCATTTTGTTCCAAAATTATAGCTTTTCTTCTATAGACTATAATGAATATTTCAATTCTAGTTCTAGAATTAAAAAGACGCCTGTTCTGGCGTTAACTCCGGCGCACGTGCCAGTCTTCAATATAGAGCTTCTGAACATGAACAATACAGTTCATATTCGCATTTAGATGCCTTGCGAACCTAAATGTTCGATCGCGAAATTCAAAAGGACATCGTACTTTAAAAAGTATAGAACTTCAATTGCATAATATATGGAAACTTTACATTGGACAAGCATTTGACCATTAAAACAGCGTGGTTACCCATTTCAAAATATTTGACATCATAACCAAAGCATGGTTATATTGTTTAATGTTTGTATATGAGCGCCAAACATGCTGGAAACTTTACATAGGACAAGCATTTGACCATTAAAACAGCGTGGTTATCCATGTCAAAATATTTGACATCATAACCAAAGCATGGTTATATTGTTTAATATTTTGTATATGAGCGCCAAACATGCTGGAAACTTTAAATTGGACAAAAATTTGACCATTACAACAGCGTGGTTATCCATGTCAAAATATTTGACATCATAACCAAAGCATGGTTATATTGTTTAATATTTTGTATATGAGCGCCAAACATGCTGGAAACTTTACATTGGACAAGCATTTGACCATTAAAACGGCGTGGTAATCCATTTCAAAATATTTGACATCATAACCAAAGCATGGTTATATTGTTTAATATTTTGTATATGAGCGCCAAACATGCTGGAAACTTTACATAGGACAAGCATTTGACCATTAAAACAGCATGGTCATCCATGTCAAAAAATTTGACATCATAACCAAAGCATGGGTATATTGTTTAATATTTTGTATATGAGCACCAAACATGCTGGAAACTTTACATAGGACAAGCATTTGACCATTAAAACAGCGTGGTTATCCATTTCAAAATATTTGACATCATAACCAAAGCATGGTTATATTGTTTAATATTTTGTATATGAGCGCCAAACATGCTGGAAACTTTACATAGGACAAGCATTTGACCATTAAAACAGCGTGGTTATCCATATAAAAATATTTAAAATGATGACCAAAGCATGGTTATATTGTTTAATGTTTATATAAAGCGCCAAACATGCTGGAAACTTTACAAAGTATCTACTATTTCCCAATAATCCTTAAATTGAGATGCATTTGCGGTCATTTCAGAGGCCTATGTATATTTCAAAATCTCCCGGACTCTCCTATTAGACGCACGGCTCCGAGCCCCAGCAATACGAAAAACGCTCTGCGGTCCCTGAAATATAAGGTGTCGTAAGTTTGAGCTTATTGTAGTTAAGATATATAGTTTAGTTCCAGTTGCACGCACTTTTTTATATTTAAAGGTATTTATAGTTTCTAAGGCGATAGGTTTTTTTATAATGATGCATGTGCGCAATCAAAATTTTTATTTACAATTATATCTATAATCTTGCAACAATCCTAAACTCAAGGTGTCACTTTTTTCTTCTGCTCCTCAATCTTTGCCTGGAAGAGAATGATTTTAGAAATAATTGGACGATAACTCATGAACGGTTTCCTACTAAGTCATAGCTTTAAGTATATTCTTTTGCTGCCCACGTTGTTAAAGCTGTTTAATTTTTTTAATAACCTCATTAATTTCTATATGCTGTTTCCATACAAGCGTTGTGGGCAGTAGTTTTGCAGATCTGAAATTTTAACACATGTTTTTTTACCGTTTATTAGTGTCCATTCTCCTTCTCCCTTCATTATGACGTGATCTGTCTTTCCTGTGATGTTGGTCAGTTGACAGTTCACAACATTGATCTTGACTCTGTAGTTGAATCCAACACATTTCGGTTGCTTTTGGCAGAGTTCGTAACATTCTATCGGAACAATCCCTGAGTTGACGGTATGATTTGATATCATTTTACTTGGGCGTAAAGTCAAACCTTCTAAGAGTAGACAATACGAAGAGAAAAAGTGATTTAAGGCTATAAGAACATATCTGGTTTAAGACTTTGCAAAAACATTCTATGATAACTCATCTGTGCTAATGATGCTATAGACCTTGGGCGAACAGTTCTGTGAAATGATACATCCAATTTTCACCAAAAGTACGAATAAAGTTCTTATCGTAAACATAATTTCGCTGGAGAATAAGTTCGCCAGCTGCTGCAAAAATAGGTCGCTGAAATATCGTATTATCGGCGAAGCCGGTGAAAATAAAGGTAAATTTCGTGCCGTCTTATATATTATTCATCTAATCTTTATAACACAATTTGGGACATGTCGCATTTCTCGGAAGCTTTCGTCGAATTGGATAATGCTTTTCTAAGCTTTCTAAAAAAACGAAGCTATGCTATTGGTTGAAACAGAAATGTATTGTAAAGTTCAGCCAATGAAAATCATTCTGGCGAGCAGCTGCGACACTACCCTACAATTTACACAATGATAATTTATAATGAAATTGATTGTTTTGTGTCAACCTTTTTCCTGATATTAAGACTGTTTTGTTTCAATGTGTGAATACAGCAGCTTTGATGAACATGTGTTGGATTAACTTAGAAAAGAACCAAAACTCGTCGAATTATAGCTAGCTAAGTACAATTTTTCGAGCTCAAAAAGTTATCTTTACGAGAGAAACATTGTGGACTAACTATAGTTGTGGGCGTAAAGTCATTGTGGACTAACTAAATATAGAGAACAGTCAAATGTTAATTAAAAATTTTTACGCATCAATAGGGATCAAGGACAGCACTTCCGAAATAACATATAAAATATAATACAAGATTATTATAAATCATGATATTGACATTAATTAAATCTCACGCGAGATCTTGCGTGCACTACACGCATATGTGTAAATATACACAATAAAGTAGGGGAAATGTAGCGAAAATTACAATTACGATGTAGACATTATCGATCCACTGTACGCTCAGGTGATTCGGCGAAATATTTCACTCTTCTGTGATGATTTTTCCCCGTAAGATCCAGGCTAAATATTGCCGAATTCTACTCTGGCAGAGGGTGTGATATGGGCTAAATAATATTGCGATTATGTAAACGTAACTAAGATGATATTATATGAATCATGCATGTAATCGTCGGGATTTTGATTACAATCGACTTTCTTTTCATCAAAGACCATGCGTAAAAAAATTAAATGTTATTCCTGTCGTACTTTTCAAACCGGTATTCCTACGATTGATCTTTTCTCTGTAGTTAAACCCAACACATTTCGGTTCTTTCTGGCAGAGTTCGAAACACTCTATTGGGACAATCCTTGAGTTGACAGTATGATTTATCAGATTTAATGATATGATTTCATATGAGCGTAAAGTAGGAGCGCCTAATTTCCCTAAAAGTAGCAAATATGGTTGAGAAATGTCGAGGGGAAAATTTCTTTCAAACGGTTGATTCACATCACGTTTGATTTAAGACATGGCAAAACATTCTTTGAAATGAATACATAGGCTAGACGTAGTCGTCTCTAATGATTTGTGAATCATGGGAGAACAGTTCTAGCTGTTGAGTGATACATGCAATTTTAATCATGAGCAAGAATAAATAATTTTTTATCTTAAACATGGTCGCATATCACAAACTTCGCTTTCTAAAACATTCGTAACAACGTGTTATCCCAGAGGTGTTATATGAAAGCAGGTGAAAATAAAAGTAAATTCTTGAGGCGTTTCAAACATTATTCATGCATGAAATGTTCATAATTTTGATTATTTACTCTTTTACTCTTTGGATTATCAATACACTTGTTTCTATCGGCGTGAAACGTTATTTTTGGGAAGAACATCATTATGTATAAATCAAGAATTTTCTTCACATCATTTTGTATACATAAATATAATCAAATTTTTAGACAGCGTAAGCGGTAAGCTCGTATTCATCCAGTATATATGTCGCGAGTTGGATTTTTTAGCTACAAAAAAATCCTTGAAACTACTACGATTGCAATTGCATTGTTTTTCTCTTTTTGACCTCTTGAGATAGTAACATTGTTTTAAACATGAACTATATATTATTAAGTAATTTACTTTGTAGGTACACCACGTAAGTATTTAATACTGCAAAGTTTTCGGTCCATCAACCCGGGCCTTCATCAGTGTAATTACCAGTGAATGCACATTTAGGTAATTGTATTGATGAAGGCCCGGGTTAACGGACCGAAAGCTTTGCTGTATTAAATACTTACGTGGTGTACCTACAAGCTAAATTACTTATTGATGTTACCATGCAAACATACAATAATATTATATATTATTATATTATTATATTACTATTTCTACATCACTATACTTTGATATATATAACGTGCTCGAAAGCATCGAAAACAAGGTAATTAATGTTTGTTCGTAATGGTGGTGCAGGAATACATCAAAACTGACTTGGACGAATTTTCATCTCCGTCATTTTCATTGAATGATTATGCCACTTGTTCCATTTTATCCCATTGTTATGTGTATAACCTGCAGGCTTGTACAGGCCATTGAGGTTGGATTGATGACCGTTATTGTACCACCAAGCTCCTTGGTATGTCAAAGAAAAATTCCGAGCATCATTCTCGCTATCCTTGGTACTGAACTGAATTCCGTTGTGCAAAGTAATTAAGGAATCACTTGCGTTTCCTTTCATGAGAATAAACAAAAAAGTACTAATTTCAGTTTTTTAGTTCACTATTTTTATGTTTAATGTACTCTTTCAGGATGTACCATATTAGTGATATTACTGTTACATTTATAAAAAAAATTAACTTGATCGGCGATTGATTTCATTTTAGTCAATCTTTGGTTGAATGTTTACATATAAAATTAAACTTAAAAGCCCTTAAAACTTAGAAGCATAAGTTTAAAACTTAAACTTAAACTTTTAATTTCTGGGAACAGGACTTGAAAATGTGTTTTGATTTCTTCTATATCACTCTTGAAAAAAACTGTTCGCTATATTGGTTTTGCTACTCGGGATAACTCATATATCATGATGGCAGTACACGTGAAGTACGGTTTCCCATGATGGTTTGCTCGGTAATTATCGGGGAATATTCACCTCGACTTCGTCGCGGTGATTACTCCCCGATAATCAGCTCGCCTTCGGCGAATAATTGTTAGCGTCGAACTCGGACTGACTCCTCTTAATATAAATACAGACAGGCTTTACAAAATTTATCTGGCGTGTGTTTTACCTGAATAACTGGCAATATTCAATCTGTATTTGTCTGAATCATCAGCCACACTAAACTTTCCATACTTAGCGTAACGTTCAGCGCCATTGAAATCCATCAAATCAACTCTTAGAACGTTTTGGCCAGATTTCGTCAAACGATGTATTTTATCAAGGCCCAACCAGAACTCGCCGCTCAAATTACCAAAGCCTGATCTATAGTCTGACCATCCAAGATAGAAATCTTGACTTCCATCTTTTCTTCTTTGGAACATGGTCCAGCCACCCCCGTCTATGCTCATATCACATCTGACTTGAAACGATCCCTGGCCGTCAGGATTGATAGTGTAAATACCATCTTGTCTTATTCCTTCGTTGTAAAGATAGGCGCAGCTGGTAGCTATGCAATTGTGAAATGTGAAAGAAATATTAAAAATATTGCAGAATAGGAACATGATCTTTAAAAAGGTTACATCACATTTTGACATTGTATGCATCATTCCATGTTCTTATTTGTAAAGAGTTATTTAGTTGATAAGGCGAGATATATTTATATGATAATGCATGTGCGCAATAAAGCCTATTTACATTCATAGCTTTATATGATCTTGCGGCAACACCTTCATCATCGTTCATTAGTATCCATTCTCCTTCTCCCTTCATTGCGGTGTGATTTGTCTTGCTAGTGATGTTGGCCAGTTGGCAGTTCACAACATTCATCTTGTCTCTGTAGTTGAATCCAACACATTTCGGTTCCTTTTCGCAGAGCCCGAGACATTCTATCTTGACAAACCTTGAGTTGACGGTATGATTTGATATGATTTCGTCTGGGCGTAAAGTTGACCCTCCTAAAAGTAGCAAATAGGTTGGGAAATGTACAAGGAAATTGTTCTGAAACATTAAACAAATGACTGCATGGTTTAAGATCTGGCAAGGATAGAATAGATTCACCTTTTTTAATAGCTTTATAAACTCTTTGAGAGCAGTAGTTTTGAGAAATGATACATGCAATTTTAGCGATAAGTAAGATCAAAGTTATAATCTTAAACATCATGACATGAATGAGGTCTCTAACGTTGCTTTTTCCAACATGCGATGGATGAAATAACGTATAATTTACAACTGAAGCAGGTGAAAAGTCGTGCGAAGACTTTGCGTCGTCTCATACATTTTTGACAGAATTTTTATTAAAAATTTATCACAGTGAAAATTTATGACAAATTTGAATGTATACTTTCATACTTATTTGTTTACCCGCATGATGATAATGGCATGGTAACTGAGTGTTTGAATACAGCAGAAGTAGCTAATGATTTGTATAACAATCCATAACTTAGCGCAGAAATTTCTCTCAGGAGTATAAAAGTAAGCAAATTAGACTAAACTGAGCAATGGTCAATGTAAACACTATACAAATTAGAGCGATGCGCTAAAATCATTATAATTATTTAGTATATTACACTTTGATATTGATTGATCGTACTGCAAGGACTTACACGCATGAATAGAATTAAAAAAATATAGTAGAAAATATATTGAAATTAAAGCTATAAATTATATTAATCTTTTAGATCTTCTATAAGATAGCGTAAAGTGAAACCTCTTAAGAGTATTAACCAATACGGAAGGAAAAAGTTCATTCTATGAAATGAAAACTCAGTTCTAATGATTTATTCTAATGATGACCACCATAGGAGGCCCAGACGAATGAGTTCAAGTCAATAAAAATCCGTAAAACACTTGATAATTGATATATTTGCTAAAATAAATTAAAGTATGTAATTTTCTACAAAACTACTGTTAGAATATGTAGCGTGCTCCAGTGGCGCTGCCATGCATTTGACTATGCAACTATAGCGACGTAACTTACTATATAATTTATTAACTTACTATATATTACTTACTTTAATTTATTTTAACACATATCTCAAGTGTTTTACGGATTTTTATTCACTTCAACTCATTTGTCTGGGCTTCCTATGATGTTTATTAAACTATTTACACCGAATTTGTTTGCAATTTATGATGAATTTAATTGTTTTGTGTCAATTTCCCCCCTGATATTAAGACTATTTTGCTTTAATGTGTGGAAATATGGAGAAGAATCAAACGTTATTCAAAAAATGTTTTCATCAATATTATTATAAATCCTGCATCTGATATTAATTAAATCTCACGCGAGATTTTGCGAGGACTACACGCGGATTGGCCGTATTACACAATATTACACAATATATATATACCTTACACATTATCGACCCACTGCGCGCTCAGGTGATTGGGCGAAATAATTCATCCTTCTGTAATGATTTTTCCGTGTGAGATCCAGGGTAAATATTCTGACAAACAGGTGAGACTCAGGTGATGATTTTTTCACATAAATGGGTGAATTACTAGTTATTATACAGAGTACTTACTCTCGCGTCGAAGAATGGGGATTTCGTAACAGTTGTACATGCACAAATATCTTAAAACAGATTTGGATGAATTTTCATCTCTGTCTTTTTCATTGAATTGTACAGGACATTTTCCAAAGGTACCAATTTATTTCGCTGCTACTAGTCTACTTGAGGTTGGAATGATGACAGTTGTTGCGCCACCAAGTTCCTTTGCACTTCACTGCACAATTCTCACTATCTAGAACATCATTTTTGCTATCCTTGGTAGTGAACTGCATTTGACTTGCGTCACCTTTCAAGAGAAGTCAATAACAATGATGGTCAGTTTTTTCAGGTAAACTTCAGCTCTTATGTACTCTTCTAAAAAGTATTGGGTCTTTGCCATAGAAAACTAACACCGCATGTATACGAACCTCTTTGTGTGTTGAAACATACACCATTTGCCGCAAACTTTCATTCAAGTTTGTTTTCCAATAGGTTCTAAAAATGCTCGAATTATCTTTGAGATCAACAATTATTAAAGAGGATCCTTGATTAGGCGATTGAAAAACCAGTATTCGGTGGATAGCGCTATAATGTACGGCTTTCATACAACTGGCCCCTGGAGTTTAACTTACCTGAATAATATCCAAAACTCAGTCTGTATTTGTCTGATTCATCAGCCACACTAAACTTTCCGTATTTAGCATAACGTTTAGCGCCATTGAAATCCATCAAATCAACTCTTAAAACAATTTGGCCAGATTTGGTCAAACGATAAATTTTATCAAGACCCAACCAGAACTCGCCTGTAAGATCACCAAAGCCTGCTCTATAGTTTGACCATCCAACCGAAATATTAACATTTTTCAGTGAAAGGCAAATAGATCTTCAAAAATGACCTTTGGCTTTGCATGGCGAATGTATTGGTGTACAAGCATTAGTAAACTGATCAATCAATGAAGTGTCAACATTAACACTATTCTAGTAAGAGCGTCGCTAGGCATAAATCTTGATATTTGATATAATTATCACACTGAGTTAATAATTATCATCTTGTAAAGACTATACGCTTAAAAACAAAATTAAATAATAAAGTGGGAAAAAATATAGCGAAAGGCCGAAAAGCCTGTATATATTTGATTATATACGCTGAGAATTTTAACATCAAGAAATTGTTTATCTTCATCGCCATTTTGTTCCAAAATTATAGCTTTTCTTCTCTAGACTATAATGAATATTTTAATTTAGTTCTAGAATTAACAAGACGCCTGTTCTAGCGTTAACTCCGGCGCACGTGCCAGTCTTCAATATAGAGCTTCTGAACATAAACAATACAGTTCATGTTCGCATTTAGATGTCTTGCGAACCTAAATGTTCGATCGCGAAATTCAAAAGGACATCGTACTTTAAAAAGTATAGAACTTCAATTGCATAATATATGGAAACTTTACATTGCACAAGCAATTAAAACAGCGTGGTTACCCATTTCAAAATATTTGACATCATAACCAAAGCATGGTTATATTGTTTAATGTTCAGTTGTATATGAGCGCCAAACATGCTGGAAACTTTACATAGGACAAGCATTTGAGCATTAAAACAGCGTGATTATCCATTTCAAAAAATTTGACATCGTAACAAAAGCATCGTTATATTGTTTAATGTTTTTATATGAGCGCCAAACATGCTAGAAGTAGAAACTTTACTTTGGACAAGCATTTGACCATTAAAACAGCGTGGTTATCCATTTCAAAATATTTGACATCATAACCAAAGCATGGTTATATTGTTTAATGTTTGTATATGAGCGCCAAACATGCTGGAAACTTTACATTGGAGAAGCATTTGACCATTAAAACAGCGTGGTTATCCATTTCAAAAAATTTGACATCATACCCAAAGCAAGGTTATATTGTTTGATGTTTGTATATGAGCGCCAAACATGCTGGTAACTTTACATTGGACAAGCATTTGACCATTAAAACAGAGTGGTTATCCATGTCAAAATATTTGACATCATAACCAAAGCATGGTTATATTGTTTAATGTTTGTATATGAGCGGCAAACATGCTGGAAACTTTACATTGGAGAAGCATTTGGGCCCGCATTAAAACAGCGTGGTTATCCATGTCAAAATATTTGACCTCATAACCAAAGCATGGTTATATTGTTTAATGTTTGTATATGAGCGCCAAACATGCTGGAAACTTTACATTGGAGAAGCATTTGGGCCCGCATTAAAACCGCGTGGTTATCCATTTCAAAATATTTGACCTCATAACCAAAGCATGGTTATATTGTTTAATGTTTATATATGAGCACCAAACATGCTGGAAACTTTACATATAGGACAAGAATTTGAACATTAAAACAGCGTGGTTATCCATTTCAAAATATTTGACATCATAACCAAAGCATTGTTATATATTGTTTAATGTTTGTATATGAGCGCTAAACATGCTGGAAACTTTACATAGGACAAGCATTTGACCATTAAAACAGCGTGGTTATCCATTTCAAAAAATTTGACATCATAACCAAAGCATGGTTATATTGTTTAATGTTTGTATATGAGCGCCAAACATGCTGGAAACTTTACATTTGACAAGCATTTGACCATTAAAAAAGCGTGGTTATCCATGTCAAAATATTTGACATCATAACCAAAGCATGGTTATATTGTTAGATGTTTGTATATGAGCGCCAAACATGCTGGAAACTTTACATAGGACAAGCATTTGAACATTAAAACAGCGTGGTTATCCATTTGAAAATATTTGACCTCATAACCAAAGCATGGTTATATTGTTTAATATTTTGTATATGAGCGCCAAACTTGCTGGAAACTTTACTTAGGACAAGGATTTGACCATTAAAACAGCGTGGTTATCCATGTCAAAATATTTGACATCATAACCAAAGCATGGTTATATTGTTTAATGTTTGTATATGAGCGCCAAACATGCTGGAAACTTTACATTGGACAAGCATTTGACCATTAAAACAGCGTGGTTATCCATTTCAAAATATTTGACATCATAACCAAAGCATGGTTATATTGTTTAATATTTTGTATATGAGCGCCAAACATGCTGGAAACTTTACATAGGACAAGCATTTGACCATTAAAACAGCGTGGTTATCCATTTCAAAATATTTGACATCATAACCAAAGCATGGTTATATTGTTTAATATTTTGTATATGAGCGCCAAACATGCTGGAAACTTTACATAGGACAAGCATTTGAACATTAAAACAGCGTGGTTATCCATTTCAAAATATTTGACATCATAACCAAAGCATGGTTATATTGTTTAATATTTTGTATATGAGCGCCAAACTTGCTGGAAACTTTACTTAGGACAAGCATTTGACCATTAAAACAGCGTGGTTATCCATGTCAATGCATGGTTATATTGTTTAATGTTTATATATAAGCGCCAAACATGCTGGAAACTTTACAAAGTATCTACTATTTCCCAATAATCCTTAAATTGAGATGCATTTGCGGTGATTTCAGAGGCCTATGTATATTTCAAAATCTCCCGGACTCTCCTTGCAGACGCACGGCTCCGAGCCCCAGCAATACGAAAAACGCTCTGCGGTCCCTGAAATATAAGGTGTCGTAAGTTTGAGCTTACTGTAATTAAGATATATTGTTTAGTTCCAGTTGCACGCACTTTTTTATATATAAAGGTATTTATAGTTTCTAAGGCGATAGGTTTTTTTATAATGATGCATGTGCGCAATCAAAATTTTTATTTACAATTATATCTATAATCTTGCAACAATCCTAAACTCAAGGTGTCACTTTTTTCTTCTGCTCCTGAATCTTTGCCTGGAAGAGAATGATTTTAGAAATAATTGGACGATAACTCATGAACGGTTTCCTACTAAGTTATAGCTTTAAGTATTCTTTTGCTGCCCACGTTGTTAAAGCTGTTTAATTTTTTTGATAACCTCATTAATTTCTATATGCTGTTTCCATACAAGCGTTGTGGGCAGTAGTTTTGCAGATCTGAAATTTTAACACAGTTTTTTTTACCGTTTATTAGTGTCCATTCTCCTTCTCCCTTCATTATGACGTGATCTGTCTTTCCTGTGATGTTGGTCAGTTGATAGTTCACAACATTGATCTTGACTCTGTAGTTGAATCCAACACATTTCGGTGGCTTTTGGCAGAGTTCGTAACATTCTATTGGAGCATTCCCTGAGTTGACCATGATTTGATACCATTTTACTTGGGCGTAAAGTCAAACCTTCTATAAGAGTAGACAATACGAAGAGAAAAAGTGATTTAAAGCTATAAGAACATATCTGGTTTAAGACTTTGCAAAAACATTCTATGATAACTCATCTGTGCTAATGATGCTATAGACCTTGGGCGAACAGTTCTGTGAAATGATACATCCAATTTTCACCAAAAGTACGCATAAAGTTATTATCGTAAACATAATTTCGCCGGAGAATAAGTTCGACAGCTGCTGCAACATTAGGTCGCTAAAATATCGTATTATCGGCGAAGCCGGTGAAAATAAAGGTAAATTTCGTGCCGTCTTATATATTATTCATCTAATCTTTATAACACAATTTGGGACATGTCGCAGTTCTCGGAAGCTTTCGTCGAATTGGATAATGCTTTTCTAAGCTTTCTAAAAAAACGAAGCTATGCTATTGGTTGAAACAGAAATGTATTGTAAAGTTCAGCCAATGAAAATCATTCTGGCGAGCAGCTGCGACACTACCCTACAATTTACACAATGATAATTTATAATGAAAATGATTGCTTTGTGTCAACCCTTTTCCTGATATTAATTAAGACTGTTTTGTTTTGATGTGTGAATACAGAAGGTTTGATGAACATGTGTTGGATTAACTTAGAAAGGAACCAAAACTCGTCGAATTATAGCCAGCTAAGTACAATTTTTCGAGCTCAAAAAGTTATTATCTTTACGAAAGAAACATTGTGGACTAACTATAGTTGTGGACGTAAAGTCATTGTGGACTAACTAAATATAGAGAACAGTCAAACATTAATTAAAAATTTTTACACATCAATGGGGATCAAGGACAGCAATTTCGAAATAACATATTAAATATAATACAAGATTATTATAAATCATGATATTGACATTGATTAAATCTCACGCGAGATCTTGCGTGCACTACACGCATATGTGTAAATATACAAAATAAGGTTGGGAAAATGTAGCGAAAGTCACAATTACGATGTAGACATTATCGACCCACTGTACGCTCAGGTGATTCGGCGAAATATTTCACTCTTCTGTGATGATTTTTCCCCGTAAGATCCAGGCTAAATATTACCGAGTCCTCCTCTGGGAGAGGGTGTGATATGGGTTAAATTATTATCGCGATTATGTAAACGTAACTAAGGTGATATTATATGAATCATGTAGTCGTCGGCAGTGTGGTTTACAATCGACTTTCTTCTCATCAATGACAATGTGTAAAAAAATTAAATGTTATTCCTGTCGTTCTTTTCAGACAAGCATTCCTATGATTCACGTCCTGTGCATCTGCTTCTTTCGTAACGTAATTATTTTTGTGTTTTGTCGACTATTAATTAATATAACTGGGTTAGGTATATATTACAGCACTGATAACAGCAACGATAAATATCTAACTAATTGTACTTGGCATGTATACAATCTTCGTATGTCGCTGTATATGATTTGTGAAGCGAGGGAGAACAGTTCTAGCTGTGGAGTGACATTTTGATTGTTTAGTCTTTTACTCTTTGGATTATCAATACACTTGTTTCTATGGGCGTGAAACGTTATCTTTGGAAGGAACATCATTATGTATAAATCAAGAATTTTTTTCACATCATTTTGTATAGATCAATATATGTCAAATTTTTAGACAGCGTAAGCGGTAAGCTCGTATTCATGCAGTATATAATATGTCCGTGAGTTGGATTTATTTAGCTACAAAAAAATCCTTTAAACTACTACGATTACAATTGCATTGTTTTTCTCTTTTTGACCTCTTGAGATAGTAACGTTGTTTTAAACATGAACTATATAATTTCATTATTAAGTAATTTACTTTGTAGGTACACCACGTAAGTATTTAATACTGCAAAGTTTTCGGTCCATCAACCCGGGCCTTCATCAGTGTAATTACCAGTGAATGCACATTTAGGTAATTGATTGATGAAGGCCTGGGTTAACGGACCGAAAGCTTTGCTGTATTAAATACTTACGTGGTGTACCTACAAGCTAATTATTTATTGATGTTACCATGCAAACATACAATAATATTATATATTATATATTATTATATTATTATATTACTATTTCTACATCACTATACTTTGATATATAACGTGCTCGAAAGCATCGAAAACAAGGTAATGTTTGTTCGTAATGCTGGTGCAGGAATACATTAAAACTGACTTGGACGAATTTTCATCTCCGTCATTTTCATTGAATGATTATGCCACTTGTTCCATTTTATCCCACGGTTATGTTGCTGACCTGCACCCAGGTACATGCCATTAAGGTTGGATTGATGACCGTTATTGTACCACCAAGCACCTTGGAACATCGAAGCAAAATTCTTATCTGGTCGAACATCATTGTCGCTATCGTTGGTACTGAAGTTCATTCCGTTGTGCCAAAGAAGGGAATCATTTGCGTTTCCTTTCATGAGAATAAACAAAAAAGTAATAATTTCAATTTTTTGGTTCACTATTTTTATGTTTAATGTACTCCTTCAGGATGTACCATATTAGTGATATTACTGTTACATTTATAAAAAAAAAATTAACCAGATCGGCTAATGATTTCATTTTAGTCAATCTTTGGTTGAATGTTTACATATTAAATTAAACTTAAAAGCCCGTTTTCATGAATAATATTTTTTAATTTCTGGGAACAGGACTTGAAAATGTGTTTTGATTTCTTCTATATCAGTCTTGAGAAAAACTGTTCGCTATATTGGTTTTGCTACTCGGGATAACTCATATACCATGATACAGTACACGTGAACTACGGTTTCCCATGATGGTTTGCTCAGTGATTATCGGGGAATATTCACCTCGATTTCGTCGCGGTGATTACTCCCCGATAATCAGCTCGCCTTCGGCGAATAATTGTTAGATATCAAGCGTCGAACTCGGACTGACTCGTCTTAATATAAATACAGATAGGCTTTACAAAATTTATCTGGCGTGTGTTTTACCTGAATAACTGGCAATATTCAATCTGTATTTGTCTGATTCATTAGCCACACTAAATGTTCCATATTTAGCGTAACGTTTAGCGCCATTGAAATCCATCAAATCAACTGTTAGAACATTTTGGCCAGATTTCGTCAAACGATGTATTTTATCAAGCCCCAACCAGAACTCGCCGTTAAGATCACCAAAGCCTGCTTTATAGTCTGACCATCCAAGGTAGAAATCTTGACTTCCATCTTTTCTTCTTTGGAACATGGTCCAGCCACCCCCGTCTATGCTCATATCACATCTGACTTGAAACGATCCCTGGCTGTCTGGATTGGTAGTGTAAATACCATCTTGTCTTATTCCTTCGTTGTAAAGATAGGCGCAGCTGGTAGCTATGCAATTGTGAAATGTGAAAGAAATATTAAAAATATTGCAGAATAGGAACATGATCTTTCGAAAGGTTATACATCACATTTTGACATTGTATGCATCATTCCATGTTCTTATTTGTAAAGAGTTATTTAGTTGATAAGGCGAGATACATGTGCCCATGCAATAAAGCCTATTCACATTCACAGTTATGATCTTGCGGCAATACCTGAATTCAAAATCTCACGTTTTCTCTTTTCTTCTGCCGTCTTTGCATGGAAGAGAATGATTTTAGAAATGATTTCATGAAATACGCTGGAACACACATGACGGGAATTTATCAACGTTTGGCCACAACATCGTATTAGCCGAGTTTTCTTTTGCTGCCCACGTTAAAGGTTCTTATTTTTACTTCATCACCATTTTCTATAGCTACATGCACAGCTAGTGCATGTAGCTAAAGAAAACAAGCATTTTAAACAGCAATTTGCTGTTTTCAAATTTTATTACATACTGCTTTATCGTCGTTCATTAGTATCCATTCTCCTTCTCCCTTTATTGCGGTGTGATTTGTCTTGCCAATGAGGGTGGCCAGTTGGCAGTTCACAACATTCATCTTGTCTCTGTAGTTGAATCCAACACATTTCGGTTCCTTTTGGCAGAGCTCGAGACATTCTATCTTGACAAATTCTGAGTTGACGGTATGATTTGATATGATTTCATCTGAGCGTAAAGTTGACCCTCCTAAAAGTAGTAAATAGGTTGGGAAATGTACAAGGAAATTGTTCTGAAACATTAAAAAAATGACTGCATGGTTTAAGATCTGGCAAGGATAGTATAGACTCACCTTTTTTAATAGCTTTATAAACTCTTTGAGAGCAGTAGTTTTGAGAAATGATACATGTCATTTTAGCGATAAGTAAGATCAAAGTTATAATCTTAAACATCATGACGTGAATGAGGTCGCCAACGTTGCTTTTTCCAACATGCGATGGCTGAAATAACGTATAATTTACAAAGCAGGTGAAAAGCCGTGCGAACACTTTGCGTCGTCTTATACATTTTTGACAGAATTTTTAATAAAAATTTATCACAATGAAAATTTATAAGAAATTTGAATGTAATGTTTCATGATTATTTGTTTACCTGCAGGGGCCGGTTGTATGAAGCCGGTTTGGCTTAAACAGTGGATAAGTCAAAATTAAATAACACTTTTACATCTCTCTTGAATGAGTGAACTTGAATATTATGCACTAAATAATTTATGTAGTTGTAAACAGTATCTTGTATTAAGGTTAAAAACATTTAGTTTGCTTGCAGAGTAAAACGATAGACTTGCTTTCTATTTTGAACTTAACTACCATTTAAGTTAAACGGGCTTGATACAACCGGCTTCTAGATATTAATAGCATGGTAACTGAGTGTTTAAATACAGCAAAAGTAATGATCGATTTGTATAACAGTCCATAACTTAGCGCAGAAATTTCTCTCAGGAGTATAAAAGTGGGCAAATTAGATTAAACTGAGCAATGGTCAATGTAAGCACTATACAAATTAGAGCGATGCGCAAAAATTATCATAATTATTTAGTATATTACACTTTGATATTGATTGATCGTACTGCAAGGACTTACAGGCATGAATAGAATTAAAAAATATAGCAGAAAATATATCGAAATTAAAGCTATATAATAATTTTCTAGATCTTCTATAAGATAGCGTAAAGTGAAACCTCCTAAGAGTACTAGCCAATACGGAGTGAAAAAGTGCATGCTATGAAATGAAAACACCGTTCTAATGATGTTGTTCTAATGATGACCACAAGTAAGAATAAAGTTTTTATCTTAAACATAATTCCGAGAATAAGTTCGCCAGCTTCTGCAACATTCGGTCAATGAAATAACGCAGCTATTATCGGCGAAGCAGGTGAAAAAAAAGGTATATTTAGATTTCTTGCCGTCTTATATGTTATTCATCTAATGTTTATTAAACAATTTACACTGAATTTGTTTGTAATTTATAATGAATTTAATTGTTTAGTGTCAATTTTTCCCCCTGATATTGAGACTGTTTTGCTTTACTCTGTGGAAATACGGAGAACAATCACACGTTATTGAAAAAATTGTTTTCATCAATATTATGATAAATCATGCGGTTGATATTATTAAATCTCACGCGAGATTTTGCGAGGACTACACGCATTGGCCGTATTACACATTAAGGTAGGAAACATCAGGAAACATCTAGCGACAGTAAATACTCAAGGTATCGATATTATCGACACACTACGCGCTCAGGTGATTGGTTGAAATATGTCACCCTCCTATAATGATTTTTCCCTGTGAGATCCAGGGTAAATATTCTGACAAACAGGTGAGACTCAGGTGATGATTTTTTCCACATAAATGCATGGGTGAATTACTAGTTTTTATACAGAATACCTACTTCTCGCATCGAAGAAGGAAAATTTAGTAACAGTTGTACATGCAAATTTTATCTTTGGGAGAACAATTATTAAAGAGGATCCTTGATTGGGTGATTGAAAACCCACCATCCGGTGGATAGCGCTATAATATACGGCTTTCATACAACGTACCGGCCAGATTTCAAAAAACAATGTATTTTATCAAGGCCCAACCAGAACTCGCCGTTAAGATCACCAAAGCCTGCTTTATAGTCTGTCAGTCTGACCATTCGAGGAAGAAATCCCATCTTGTCTTCTTTAAAACACGGTCTAGCCACCCCCGTCTGTGCTCATATCACATCTGACTTGAAATGATTCCTGGTTGTCAGGATTGATAGTGTAAACACCATCTTATCTTATTCCTTCGTTGTAAAGATGCGCAGCTGGTTCCTGTGAAATTGAAAAATATTAAAGAAAAAGGTAGTAAAAATATTGAAGAATAACAATTATTCCATTGAAACTTAGGCTCTCGATTATATAATTTTCAAACGCACTTAAACAGAACAACAAATAAGTGAACAAGTGAGGTCTTATTGATAGGAAGTGTAGCTTTTCAACATTTTGTTTAAAGAATTAATGCTCGAGTTATTTTAAGGCTTAGGAATTTTGAAAAGTATAAAATGAGACATTAGGCAAAAACAGTCTTGCAAACCCAAGTTTTGAGTTACGACAAGACGCAATTATTCGATTGGTGATATTTCGACTCTATTTCAGAACTGCCAGAATCACTGTTTCTTATAACTCAAATCTTGGGTTTGCCAGGTGTTTTTGTTGATCGATCAATCGGAGTATGCTTCATTTTAGTTTAGAAGGCTAAAAATATTTGTATGGTAATGCATACGGGCAATCTTTCCGCTTACCAAAATTCTAGTGTCAGTTTTTAATTCTTCTTTTCTCTTAATTTTTTTGCTGAAAGAGAATGAATTTAAAAGAGATAGCATGCATGAAATACGTTGAAGGTAATCTCATGAACGGTTTGAAATAAATTCATCGTCTGAGTTACTCTTTTGGTTCCCACGTTGTTGAAGGTTTAATTTTTTGATTTGACATTAATTTCTGTACACTGATTTTCTTACAAGCTTTGTGAGCTTGAATTTTGCAGACCTGAAATTTTAATACATACTGTTGCTTTTTCATCATTCATTGGTATCCATTCTCCTTCTCCCATCATTATGGTGTGATTTCTCTTCTCAGTGATGTTTGTCAGTTGGCAGTTCACAACATTCATCTTGTCTCTGTATAGTTGAATCCAAAATATTTCGGTTCTTTTTGGCAGAGTTCGTAACAATTTATCTGGACAATCCCTGAGTATAATTTGACGGTATAATTATATGATTTCATCTGGAGGTAAAAAGGAACCTCCTAAAAGTATACGTTATCAGAACTGGTTTCTTATTGAAATACAAGTATAGACGACTTACCTTTTTTTAATAGGCAGTTTGTAGAACCATTCTGTGAAATGGAACATGTCATTTTAACCATAAATAAGATCAATGTTGCTATCTTAAACATGATTACTTGAATAAAGTCGTTAACTTTGCTCTCTTCAACATGCTGAAATAATGCATTCTCCACAAAGCAGGTGAAAAAAAACATAGACTTGTCTGCCGTCTTATATATTATTGATAGGAATTTTATTTAAAAATTTACGCAATGAAAATTCATATCAAATTTATATCATAATGAAAATTGATTCTTTTAGACAGGTTATTAATGGTGCGTGGTAACCGAATGTGTGAATATACAGCAGATTTATGGTTCACAATGGGCCCTAACCTAACAGAGAACCAATTTAAAGTTATATTTTTGAAACCGAAACTTTAACCTTTTTTAGTGAAAGGCAAATCGATCTTTAACAAATGACCTTTGCATGGCGAAGATATATTGGAGAAAAATTATCAAGGAGAGCACTTCCGAAATAACATATAAAATATAATACAAGATTATTATAAATCATGATATTGAAATTAATTAAATCTCACGCGAGATCTTTCGTGGACTACACACATGTGTGTAAATACACACAATAATGTGAGAGAAATGTAGCGAAAGTCACAATTACCATGTAGATATTATCGATCCACTGTTCACTCAGGTGATCGAGCGAATATTTCACCCTTCTGTAATGATTTTTCCCCGTAAGTTCCAGGCTAAATATTGTTGAATCCTCCTCTGGTGGAGGGTGTGATATGGGTTAAATTAATATTGCGATTATGTAAACGTAACTAAGATGATATTATATGAATTAATGTGTAAAAAAATTAAATGTTATTCCTGTCGTTCTTTTCAGACCAGCATTCCTATGATTCACGGCCTGCGTATCTGCTTCCTTCGTAACGTAATTATTTTTGTGTTTTGTTGACTATTTAATATTACTGGGTTAAGTATAATTTATATGACAGCACTGATAACAGCAACGACAAATATCCAACTAATTTTACTTGGCATGTATATATACTGTAATCTTCGTATGTCGCTGTATATCAAAAATTTTTTTTCTACATTAATCAAATTTATCAAAATAACATTAATCAAATTTTACTTAAAAGGTACTATAATTTTTGGCATATATGTTTTCTTCAAAGTAAAGGTAGTTTTGTTTAAATATTCAAAGTCTTTATTGAGGATAATGCAATATTCACTATTTAGCGTATAGTAATTTATTCCGACCATACCTAATCAAAACACATGCATGTCTTTTAGATTGTGGCCCGCGATTGTTGGATTAAACTAACGCTACATACAAATAGAGTGGGGAGGGTTAGGAAGTCAGAGAATCAGACAATTTATTAAAGTTTTGAAATAAAAAGGAAATACCCTGGGAACGAGGTTGCATTATCAGTCGTCAACCAGCGCGTGGCGTGTACGCTCATCGTCTGTGTTGTGTTTTTTCTGCTCTCACTAAATAAGGTTTCATTTACTTACCTATATGTATATATATATATATATATATATATATATATATATATTAATATATATATATATATTACCTATATATTACTTGTATATTGAATTATTGAGTTATGGCAGATTAGACAGCTCGCGATATTGTAAATGGCACAATTGATCTTAGAATCTTTTTTCATCAGTAATTACATATGACATAGTTACCGCTTAATCGTCGACCATTAGTATCCATTTTCCTTCTTTCGTTATCGCAACGTGATTTCTCTTCCCAGTGATGTTGATCAGTTGGCAGTTCACAACATTGATCGTGACTTTATAGTTGAATCCAACACTTTTCGGTTCTTTCTCAGATAGTTCGTAACACTCTATCGGGACAATCTCGGGCCCTGAGTTGACTGTATGATTTGATATTATGACTTAATGAGGGCGTAAAATCGGAGCGCCTAAAAGTAGCAAAATAATATGGTTGGGAAATGTCGAGGGGTAAATTTCTTTCAAACAATAGGATTACGTCTTATTTAAGCCATGGCAAAACATTCTTTTTAAATACATAAACAGGCAGATAGGCTAGACGCAGTCGTCTCTAATGATATTGTAAACCGTGGGAGAACAGTTCTAGCTGTGAACTGATACATGCAATTTTAATCAACGGTAAGAATAGATAATGTTTTTATCTTAAACACGGTCGCATATCACCAACTTTGCTTTCTAAAAAATTCGTAACAACGTGTTATCCCAGAGGTGTTATGAAAGCAGGTGAAAACAAGAGTAAATTCTTGAGGCGTTTCATACATTATTAATGCATGTAATCTTCATTAATTTGATTGTTTAGTCTTTTACTCTTTGGATTATCAATACACTTGTTTCTATCGGCGTGAAACGTTATTTTTGGGAAGAACATCATTATGTATAAATCAAGAATTTTCTTCACATCATTTTGTATAGATCAATATAAATCAAATTTTTAAACAGCGTATAAGCTAAATTACGTAATGATGTTACCATGCAAACATACAATAATATTATAAATTATATTTTATTCTATTACTATTTCTACATCATTATAGTTTGATATATAACGTGCTCGAAAGCATCGAAAACAAGGTAATGTTTGTTCGTAATGGTGGTGCAAGAATACATTACAACTGACTTGGACGAATTTTCATCTCCGCCATTTTCATTGAATAATAATGCCACTTGTTCCATTTTATCCCATTGTTATGTGTCTGACCTGCACCCAGGTACAGGCCATTGAGGTTGGAATTATGACAGATCTTGTACCACCAACCTCCTTTGTACTTGATAGCACAATTACCACTAACAACATCATTGTCACTATCCTTGGTCGAGAACTGCATTTGATTGTGATAAGCCAGAGAATCACCTGCGTCACCTTTTATGAGAATAAACAAAAAGCAATAATTTCAGTTTTTTAGTTTTCCCTTTTTATATTTAATGTACTCTTTCAGGATGTACCATGATTACTGATATTACTGTTACATTTATAAAAAAAATTTAACTAGATCGGCTCTATTGATTTAATTTCAGTCAATATTTCGCTGAATGTTTGCATGTTAAATTAAACTTAAAAGCGCGTTTTCATGAACAATGTTTCTTAATCTCTGAGGACTGGACTTGAAAACGTGTTTTGATTTCTTCTTTATCACTCTTGAGAAAAATTGTTCGCTATTTTGGGTTTGCTACTCCGGATAACTCAAATATAATGATACGGTATACGTGAACTATGGTTTCCCATGAAATTAACGTATGCAGTAAAATCATGTGAACGATATTTACGTATTCAGTATTTACGTAAATGACAATCTTTACGACAACGGCTGAATAAATATATGCTGATTTGTCAAATTTCACGTATTGGACCGGTTGTTCAAAGCTAGGTTAGAGCTAACCCTGCATGGGTTAAATTTTGCTCCGCTGTTTTGTTTTATATGCTTCTGCACTGCTGTTTTTTTCAACACTTTACAAAATAAGACTTTTATTGATCCAGAAAATATTTATGGAAAAACATATTTAACTTCATAAACGAGAGATTAAAAAATTGATTAAAAAATTTGCTGGAGTTGACACAAAATTAAGCTAACCGGCTTTTGAACAACCGGCCCAGGTGAATTATAACAAATTTCAAAATGACAGCTAACCATTTTGGGGACGTTTCTTACAAACGGAGATAAGCGGACAAATGCAGTTCTTGTGTCAATTCACTTGTGCAAAAATACTAAAACAATTATTCACCTTAGGCTCAGTGATTATCGGGGAATATTCACCTCCACTTCCTCTTGGTGAAATTTCACCGATATTCACCGATATTCACCGTTTGATATCAAGCATCGAACTCGTCTGACTGACTCGTTTTAATATAAATACAGATAAGCTTTACAAAATTTTTCTGGCGTATGTTTTACCTGAATAATTGCCAATATTCAATCTGTATTTGTCTGATTCATCAGCCACACTAAATGTTCCATATTTAGCGTAACGTTTAGCGCCAATGAAATCCATCAAATCAACTCTTAGAACGTTTTGGCCAGATTTCCACAAACGATGTATTTTATCAAGGCCCAACCAGAACTCGCCGTTAAGATCACCAAAGCCTGCTTTATAGTCCGACCATCCACGATAGAAATCTTGACTTCCATCTTGTCTTCTTTGAAACGCGGTCCAGCCTCCCTTGTCTGTGCTCATATCACATTTGACTTGAAACGATTCCAGACCATCAGGATTGATAGTGTAAACACCATCTTGTCTTATTCCTCGGTTATACAGATAGGCGCAGCTGGTAGCTATGCAATTGCGAAATGTGAAAGAAATATTAAAAATATTGCAGAATAGGAACATGATCTTTAAAAAGGTTACATCACATTTTCACATCGTGTGCATCATTCCATGTTCTTATTTGTAAAGAGTTATTTAGTTGATAAAGCGAGATTTATTTATATGATAATGCATGTGCGCATGCAATAAAGCATATTCACATTCATAGCTGATATATGATCTTGCGGCAATACCTGCTTTATCATCGCTCATTAATATCCATTCTCCTTCTCCCTTTATTGCGGTGTGATCTGTCTTGCCAATGAGGTTGGCCAGTTGGCAGTTCACAACACTCATCTTGTTTCTGTAGTTGAATCTAAAACATTTCGGTTCCTTTTGGCAGAGCTCGAGACATTCTATCTTGACAAACTCTGAGTTGACGGTATGATTTGATATGATTTCGTCTGGACGTAAAGTCAACCCTCCTAAAAGTGGCAAATATTTTGGGAAATGTTGATAGAAATTGGTCTGAAACATTAAATTGAAGAAATAACTGCATGGTTTAAGATCTGGCAAGGATAGAATAGACTCACCTTTTTTAATAACATTATAAACTCTTTGAGAGCAGTTTTGTGAAATGATACATGTCATTTTAGCGATAATTAAGATCAAAGTTATAATCTTAAACATCATGACGTGAACGAGGTCGCTAACGCTGCTTTTTCCAACATGCGATGGCTTAAATAACGTATATATAATTTACAAAGCAGGTGAAAAGTCGTGCGAACACTTTGCGTCATCTTATACATTTTTGACAGAACTGTTATTAAAAATTTATCACAATGAAAATTTATAACAAATTTAGTTTCATAATTATTTGTTTACCCGGAGGATATTAATGGCATGGTAACTGAGTGTTTGAATACAGCAGAAGGAATGATTTATATAACAGTCCATAACTTATATAGCGCTTAAAAGCGCTATATAAGTTATGGACTGTTATACAAATCATTAAAACTAGCTATTTTCGAACCTTTCATGTAGCTAGATCAAAGAAATAAGAACGATTAGGACTATAAAAGTGGGCAAAGTATATTAAACTGAGCAATGGTCACTAATAAAAAATATATTAAACTGAGCAATGGTTACTAATGGCACTATACAAATTAGAGCGCTGCCCAAAAATCATTATAATATTATTCAGTATATCACACTGTGATATTGATTATCGTACTGCAAGGAGTATACACGCATGAATAAAATTAAAAAATAAAGTAGAAGAAATATAGCGAAAGCTATAAGCTTCTATAAGATAGCGTAAAGTCGAGTCTCCTAAGAGCACTAGCCAATACGAAGCGAAAAAGTGCATTCTATATGATATAATAATTCGGTTCTAATGATGTTATAAACCTTGGTCGAACAGTTCCGTGAAATGATACATGAAATTTTGACCATAAGTAAGAATAAAGTTTTTATCGTAAACATAAGTTCTCCAACTTCTGCAACATTAGGTCGCTAAAATAACGTATTATCGGCAAAGCAGGTCAAAATAAAGGTATATGTATATATATAGAATTCATGCCGTCTTATATGTTATTCATGTAATGTTTATTAAACAATTTACACTGAATTTCTTTGTAATTTATATATAATGAATATAATTGTTTTGTGTCAACTTTTTTCCCTGATGGCCCTGTTCATATGAGCCGGGCTGGCCCGCTTTGCCGGGCTGACTCGCTAGAGGCGAGATCCCACTTCCTAAGGCGCTGTTCATATGAGCCGGGCTGGCCCGCTTTGCCGGGCTGACTGGCTAGAGGCGAGATCCCGCTTCCTAAGTTGTTTCTATATGTTTTTGAAATTTGATTCACATGGAAAGCGGGCCAGCCCGCTTCGGCGAGATCTCGCTTGAGCGAGGCGAGATCTCGGCAAAACGGGCTCATATGAACGCACTAGGCGGGCTAGCCCGGTAAACCGGGCAGAAAATCGTCGATCCCTTTCTCTACAAATATACCTTCATAGCATAATTTCGCCATTTATTTACAAACCAAAAGAACACAATACATTTCAAAAATTAACGAAATATATCTGCCCAAAACCGCTCTAATCGATGCAAGCAACATTTTTCGATTTGTGAAGCGTCAACAAATTATGTAACGCTACCGGGCTAGCCCGCCTCATGTGAATAAGAAAATAAACTAGCCCGGCAAAGCGAGCCAGCCCGGCTCATATAAACAGGGCCTAAGACTGTTTTGCTTTAATGCGTGGAGATATAGAGAGCAATCAAACGTTAGTCAAAAAATTTTTTCATAATATTATTATAATTCCTGCAATTGATATTAATTAAATCTCACGCGAGATTTTGCGAGGACTACACGCGGATTGGCCGTATTACACAATATAGTAGGAAACATCAGGAAACATCTAGTGACAATCAATAATCAAGGTTCGACATTATCGACCCACTGCGCGCTCTGGTGATTGGGCGAAATAGTTCACCTTCTGTAATGATTTTGACAAAAATTTGTAAATATTCTGACAAACAAGTGAGACTCAGGTGATGGTTTTTTAACATAAATGGGTAAATTACTCTTTATTATACAGAATACCTACTCTCGCGTCGAAGAAGGAGAATTTAGTAACAGTTGTACATGTAGAAATATCTTAAAACAGATTTGGATGAATTTTCATCTCTGTCTTTTTCACTGAATTGTATACGACATTCTCCAAAGGTACCAATTTATTTTGCTGCTACTAGTCTACTTGAGGTTGGAATGATGGCAGTTGTTGTACCACCAAGCTCCTTTGTACTTCACAGCACAAATCACACTATCTAGAACATCATTGTCGCTATCCTTGGTAGTGAACTGCACTTGATTGTGATAATTAAGAAATTAAGAAAATTTATCCCAAACTTGATCAAGGTTCTTTAAAAGTATGGTCTGATGGAATACTTTTTGAAATATATTAGTACACACGAGTTTCCCACAAAACAGGATTGGAAAAGAATTGTTAATTCAAGTATCTGGGTTTATTATCAGGTTACATGGAGGGACAAAATTAGAAGGAAGAGACAACTAAGTATCTATAAGAGAGTTCATCCACACAATCTACAATCTCATTGGTGGATCTTGGCAAAACACAATCTTGAGTACCTACCCAAGATAACAGATGTGGTCAGAATCTTATGTGGATCATTAAAAATACAAGGAAAACGAGATCGAAACCCCGATGATCATTCAAGCTATTGTCCTCGATGCCAACGATGTTCTGAGAAGCCAATACATCACTCTTTGTTGTATTGCCAGGGATCGATCGACGAAAGAAAGAAACTTTGGGAATGGATTAATGATAGTCTTACAACAACTATGAACGTGCAGTTAGCAAATTTATCGGACACCGAAATTTTGTGCTGTATATTAGGTGAAAAACTAAATATTTTTGAGACAGACTTAAGGCCGTTTTCCACTTCACTGTTTCGCTCGCCGTCGACGAAAAATTTCGCCAAGACGTAATGTTTGATCATTTTATTTGGCCGTCGAAGAAATTTGTCCTGCCGCTGCGGTCGTTGAAAATTTTCAACTTTCGTGAAGAAAAAAACACGTCAGCAAAATTTTTTTCCAACATGGCGAGTTTTTTGGAAGAATATGAGGACTTGAATGCTACAGAAGATGCTATGGATCCAGATGCAGAGGTTGTACATTTCGAAGAAGATAATAGAGATGGAAACGTAGATCTTGAAGCATTAATAGAACTCGTTCGGAGCTTACCAATTCTTTGGAATACTAAGCTGAGAGGTTACAAGGAAACAAATAAAAAAAACACAGCGTGGAATCAAGTTGCATTGCATTTAGGTTGCGATGGTAAGTTTACCGAAATAATTTTAATATTTGGAGGTATTTAATACAATAAAGTTTGAAAAGTCTAAACATAATTTGAAAATACATCACTATATCTGCAGAGAAGTATGTGGGACTGAATTTTTTTGTGCAAAATAAAACCATGACCACACAGGATAATTACAATATTTTGCCCCTGGGAAACCCAGAAAGCAGGCATTTCTGTTACATGATAGAATTCGAAGATGTTCTCTGGTCTTTGTTGTGATTAATAATAACTAAGCTGCTGCTTTTGATCAGGCTAGCTTCAATATTTAGCCAGTTGTTGTACACTGGTGAAAGAATGTTTTTGAGATTGTAAAGTTATGTTTGTTTTAGTGAGTATTTGTCGTGCCAAATGGAAGAACATTAGAGATACTTACAAGAAGTGTATCAAAAGGAGAGATCTGGCTACACGGTCAGGTGCTGGTTATAAACGTCTACCTGAATGCAGATTTTTTAAAGAATTACAATTCCTTAGTGATTCTGTAACCAGCAAAGAAACCGAAAGTAACTTCACCTTTGTTAGAAATGATGAAGGTCAGTCATCTGCAATGGACATTAAGACAGCTGAGGTACCAAGTGATAAATCAATTCCAGTGCCACTCTCAGTTTCCTCACCAGCAAGGTCAGAATCCCCTAACACCTCATGTCAAGATGTACCAGCAGGGATACCAATAAAAAGAAAAAAGTTGCATACAAGAGAAAGAGAAGATATCAGTACTGCACTAGATCTGGAGTTGATAAGTCATCTCAAGAAAAAAAATGTAACAGAAAATGATCAAAATATTGGTAAATCTGAAAATGAGCTTTTTTGTAAAAGCCTTATTCCAATACTTGATCGCTTTGACAACAAAACAAGTCAGATGGCAAAAGTTAGAATTCAACAATTATTGTTTGAAATAGAGTTTGGAAAAGACTAAAGGAAAACTATGTTCATATATTGTTTTAACAAGTATATTTATCACGTACAAACCTATTTTGGAGACATTGTTAATAATATTTGTCGTTAATTTTTAAATAAACATTTGTTATTTTTTACATTATGTACATCAAAATACATTTGAATTTAAATTATATACCAGTATAAGTTATTGTTACAATTTTGTTGATCAACTGTGTAAATATTATATTCTGTTAATCTGTTTCAATTTAATTAATTACATTCTCAGTAATAAGTTTGATTGCATTTTATTTACATGCAGTGTTTTTTTGTTATTTACAAATTTGATTTTCATGCACAAATTCAAATCCAAAATAAATCACTCAAAATTAATTAATTATTAGTTATTAAATTTACAGTGTTAAAAATTTCACCTCTTGACTACCCAATAAAGGTAAATTTACACAAATCAAGAACAAAGTCAGTGGGCTCAATGAGTTATAACTGTTTAATCTCTAGTGGAGCTCTTCAAGGGTGATTAACGGTCTGTCAAAACTGTTGGATACACTATCCACTGTATTCCATTGCCAAGGGACCTCTCCATCAGCTGAATTGAAATACTCTCTGAAGGTATCTCGTACACGTTTGGCATCTCTGGAATATGTATTAGACGCACATCTTTGTAAATCAAGGAAATTACTGTCAGAATTGACCTCTGATCTCCATGCACCATTAGACTGACCATTGCTATCAACAAAACCATGAGGGCAATTGTGTTTCCTTTCCTTTGTTTGCATCTTCCATCAGGTAATTATGCAAACCCACTATTGCTTCAGTAATAGCAACTACCAACTTGGTACTGGCAAAAATAGGTCTCCGCAGTATACGAAAGCGTGATGCAGCAATACCAAAGGTATTCTCAATGACCCTTCTTGCCCTAGAGAGCCGGTAATTAAATACTCTTTCAGATCTTCCAATGCTACCCCCAGGACATGGCTTCATTAGATTATGCTTCAGTGGAAATGCCTCGTCTCCAACTACAACATATGGTAGCACTTTGTCACTACCTTGCAGTTTTGCTTTTTTAGGCATGTTCAGCAAGCCTTGGTTTATTCCAAAGGCAATCATGCTGTTTTCAAAAACTCCTCCGTCGCTGATTCGGCCACTATTGCCTATATCCACAAGGGTGAACTGATACTTAGCATTACAAACAGCAAGCAAAACAATGCTATGAGTTTTTTTATAGTTAAAATATTCGGAGCCACATCTTGGAGGGGCTTGCATCACAATATGTTTACCATCGATGGCTCCGAGACAGGGAAGTTCCAAATCAGCTCAAACTCTCGAGAAATTGTCCTCCATTTATCAATTGAATCTGGAGCTCTCACATACCCCTTTGAGCAAAGGACGTCCCATAAAACTTTGCACGTTTCAAGCACTATCCTACCAATTGTTGTCGGACTTATTCGGTAACTCAAGCCAATAGTTTGCTGGGCATCACCCGTGGCTAAATATCGTAATGTTACACTGAGTCTTTCACTTGGCCCAATAGCTTCTCTTTTTCTGGAAGATTTTGTAATGTACGGAGCAACCATAGTTAACAGTTCCTCGTATTTTTGTGGAGTCATTCTGAACATTACAAAGAAATACTCATGGTCTGCCAACATTAGATCCTTGACCAGAAGATGAAATTCGCCTTTTGATTTGCGTTCGGCAAACGTTTTTCTTACCCAGAAGCGTTTCCTATATTTATTGCGCAGTAAATTTCTGCGAGACCTTTGTCGCAATGCTAATAACAGCAAAAAATCCTCATTTTTCATGTTTAAAACTTTGAAACAAGAATTGGACTCCTCATTGAATGCGTGTATCTAAGGGCCATTCGTTTTTCACTGAAACAAAAATCGAATTGCGATCATAAAATTTCGTTTTTTCTTTTTTATGTTTGAGAAAAACGGAAATAGAATTGAATTCCGTTTTCTTCGTCTGAGAAATGGAACGAAATAAAGATTTTCCTTCGTTACTTTCAAACTATTTTCTGAACATGGGAAAACGGATTTTCAAACTGAATTTCAATTTCCATCAAAGGGCTGATGCGGGCTGATGCTCTTCAATACGCACCCCCCGTCACAAACCAGAAATTTCCAATATGGCGGCTTTAGAAGAACACGAACAATTTATAAGAAGCTTCTTATCTCAAAAAGAAAAAACATTAGAAGATTTGTCGGATGCCCTTATAGCAGCGTATCCGGAACAAAGAGGTTTTTCTGTTCGAAGTATAAAACGCTTTTGCAAGGAAAATGGAATTAGAAAGAGAGGCATTATTTCTGACGAACATCTTGATGATGCTGTAAAAAATGCTGTTTCCGAGGTACTTTTTCATCTATTTGAGAAAGATAGACAGAAAAAAGTGTTGCTCAAGCTAATACATAATACTAATACATGATGTTAAGCATATTCTACAACTTAATAGTCATCCAAAATGTTGGTTTCCTCTCGTTTCATTTTAGTAGCTTTTATGTATCACACTGTTTAATATTTTTTACAGGTTGGTCCAGTTTATGGGCGGAAGATGATGAAGGGTTATTTGGATAGCAAATGTGGATTTTCACTTGCCTCTGAGCAACGTGTTCGAAATTCCTTGGCCAGGGTTTCACCATTATACCAGCAACAGCGTAACGCACGAACCGAAAGACTTACAAATCCACATCCATACATCGCAGAATATTTTGGCCACAAGTTGCACTTAGACCAGAATGAAAAAATAGCTATGTTTGGTGTCACACATGTTTGTGCAATTGATGGATATTCCAGGTTTATTACTGCATTTTCATGTATGCCAGTAAAAAACAATGTCGTGATTTATGACATGTTCAGGTATTTAATTTTTATTGAATTATGAGTCACAAGAAATCACATTAGAAATGTGAAAATATTGAAATATATCAATGAGCCATAAGCAAGGGTGACTGGGGGTGCAAATTTTGGTATTAATTGAAATTTAAAAAAAATTATGCATGGAATTATTGCTAAATTACAAGAATCTGGCTCTAACAATCAAAGTTACACCTCATTGTCTTTCATATTTTTATGAACAAACATACATTCTAATATCCCCATGCTGCTGTTTTCTGGAATATTATAAACCACACTTGATCCATCCCTGGCTATAGGTGATATTTCCTTTTATAATGTTGAATGTCATTCACAGGAATATCATACTAAATGAAGGATTATTTGATCAGATCAGAGTTGATCATGGGATGGAGTTTGTCCTCTTACTGTATGTCCAAGAAATGTTGGCTGAGTTCAGAACAAATCAAGGTAGAGATCCCCATCGTCAAACAGAATCAAAAAAGGTATGCATCATAAAACCAAATAGTAGAAGATAGTTCATACCAATAACTCAGGGGGGGTTGGCTATTGCATCCTAGGTTTTCCGAATAACGAGACAGAAGTACTTTACCCTTAATGTCTATCCACTTAAAAATTAAGCTTATGAAAAACTCTGCCTGTGTAGAATTTTCAGGACCATACCATTTATTTTTATATTTTATAGAATCTTGTGATTGAAAGATTCTGGGTGGAAGTAAATGCAAGAGTTAATTACCCGATTAAATCAGCTTTGCGTCAAATGGAGGAAAGAAATTTAATTGACATGGAACTTGAGAATGTTAAACATTCTGTTTCATCAGTCAGTTTGAAAGTAGCTTTTGTGGGAATGGAGAAAGCAGTTCGGTCATGGAATCATCATGCTATACCAGGTAATATCCTTCTCTTAATTGGCACAATTTTTTCTCATTTACTTTAATTAATAATCAATTTCAATTATTTAGTTTAATTTATATCTTCGTAATGAAAACCTTCATTGCCAATTTATTTTATGACATCATCAGAGTTTATTTGCACTAGCTTTAATTTTTAACTTTGAGAAAGCTTCTCTTCAATTTTTATTTTCTTTAATTTTCACTTTTTTTCTTTTTCACTTTTTTTTCATATCTCAAACTTTTTTACAATGTTCCTTTATATTTCTTATTATCACAGGAGTTGGAAGGCCAATTGATCTCAGAAACAACAACAATAGAGTGGCAAAAGTGCCGTTGAACATGATTCCAACATGCGAGGAGGCGGTTGCAAGGTATGAAAACGATGGTGGAAAGATAACACGTTTTCCTGCATTTGGCCAAGATCCATTATTCACAAATCCACATTTACAAAATGAAAGAGAGGAACAATTTAATCATATTAACTGGGAACTGGTATATGGCAAGCTAGTTAATCATGATAATACACATTTTTGCAATGCTATCATGATGCACTTGAACATAACACAACAATTAATGTCTAGATGATATCAATCATTAATCTCAAAAAAAGGCGTTTAACAGTCTTGTGTCCATTGCTATCGCTGTATATACTGTATGATATTCAATGCAACTTTTTGATAAAATCATCAAAACTATTAAGAGAAATTGTGGCAGTGTTGAAGCCATCCTCTCTGCACTTTGGGCATGTTGTTTTTCCAGTGTCTGTCCATGTTTTTACACATTCAAAACAACCAATGACTGACTCACAACAACTGGAAACTATAATAGGTGATGTTGATGTATCTTTAAATTATGCACTGAAAACAATCTGTTATTTCTTTCAAAAATGAATTTTGCAGTGCTTTCTCAACAAATGCTTTATTGCTCACATGACTTTTCAAAGCTTTTTCAAAATTTTCTTGCAATGATTGCATTGCTTTTGGTAATACTTCATTGACAGCATCCATCACAGCAGATTTTATATTGCTTTTCATATTCTTACTAGTCTCACCTAGCAAAGGATATAAAAACCATACTTTTTGTTATGAATATACATCTTATTATAGATAGAATAACATTGCATGGTATCAGGTTGATGCAATATTACCTGATTTTTCACCAAAAGTAATTGTTTCAGGGTCATCATCATCATCAAGATCATCATCTAGACATATGATACCACGCTCATTCTTTACTGTTTGCGGTACCGCAAATTTTTCTTGAGTTTGCCTTCCAAAATGCTAATCCTGTCATGACATCATCAAAGACAATTACTTAGTTCAACTTAAAAATGCTTGCTTAAAAGTGTATTTTCGTTGAAATTTTGCGGTTGTCTGAGAGTGAATTATGTACGTTGTTAACATAAAAATTTGTGACCTGGTTTGTTCAATATATGGGAAGTGAGAAATAACATTATTTATTTGATATAATTCACAGACACAGTCATTTATTGGCGAAATAGCCATGTGTAAAATTGTCATAAAATTGTGATGTGGTGTACTAGATGACATACCTTTAGTTGCATCACTATCTTCAATGGGTAAACAATTAGAAGACACGAGAATTAGTGTGTTGTTCTGAAACTCTTCCCTGCATTGGGCAGTTATGTACGGGACAGTCGCTGTAACATCATTTATGGTAACATAGGTCTGCCTTGTTTGATTTGTCACTTTATTCCCATTCTTCTTAGCCAGTGTAACTTTCAGACAGTAGCTGTTACTCTTTTTTTTGGAAGGCACAACAGATCTACAGAAGGAAATTGAAGAAAAAGGCCGCTTGACTTCCCAGGTTGAAAAACATGTATCAAATTCTCTACGCGTAGCTGCGAGGAAATAAAATTGAACAGCTGCGAGCTGCGAGTGGACCCATTAAAGTGAGATGCGCGACTTATATTTCCGATAAAAGCTGCAAGTGAGGCTTCGACAAAGTTAGAAAAGACTCAAATATTTTTGTTCATACTTTAAACTTTTACTTTACACTTCAATATGCCACTGACACTGCATACTGCTGAAACATTACATTGACTTCGACTAGTCTAATCCGCTTGACTCTATACTTTAACACGATTAGCCGCCCAAGGCTAATATTCGAAATGGATGATGATTGTGAATAAAACATGAAATAACTGAGGAGTCCTCTCTGTCCTAACGTAAATTGAACTGGGTTTTTACTTACCTGAACATAGGAGAATATCCACTGAAATTAGAACTTGAAGCAAATGAGCTTGAAGGAGACTGCAGCGAGTGCAATCCTCCAAATGAGGTTGACGCACTAGCTCTTCCTTTTCTTTCACCTTCGACTTTTACAAAGGATTCCTTTCGAAAATCACTTAAGTCAAACCGACCTTCCTTGTTTGGCCACTCTGTGTTGCCCGAAAATTCGTCAACAATGTGTATTCCTATTAGTTCCAACTGCAAAGTGCAACGTAACCATTCAGTTTGTAAACTTCGAAAATTTTAGACTAAAAATCACAAACGAAAACAGGTCATTTATCCCATCCACTTACCCCAAACATACAGGCTAACCTTTCTACGTTAACTTGACTCTTTTTTAATTTTCGATCTTTTCTTTCATCTCCTTCACCGAAGGAAAAATTTAAGTTTTCGTCTTCCATATCTCGCGTCGTGTTGATATCCAGTATGTCGTACGGAAAATGCACGAAAATAACAAAAAGGCGCGAAAATCCAGGGGGGGGGGTGTAGCATGAGAAAACTTCTAATCAGCCCTTTGATGGAAATTGAAATTCAGTTTGAAAATCCGTTTTCCCATGTTCAGAAAATAGTTTGAAAGTAACGAAGGAAAATCTTTATTTCGTTCCATTTCTCAGACGAAGAAAACGGAATTCAATTCAATTTCCGTTTTTCTCAAACATAAAAAAGAAAAAACGAAGTTTTATGATCGCAATTCGATTTTTGTTTCAGTGAAAAACGAATGGCCCTTAGATACACGCATTTCATTGCCTCCATTTTGTTTTTGTATATATTTTCGCGAAAGTGGAAAATTAAATTTTCGCGCGCGAATATTTTCGCTGCGAAATTTTTCGTCGACGGCGAGCGAAACAGTGAAGTGGAAAACGGCCTTTAGACACTTGGTCAAAGCTCTTATTCAGAAAATGGAGGTAATAAAGATCCAGAGGGCAATAGACCAATTGCGAAACTTAGTGACCGCGCCTTCGCTCAACATGGAAACGAGGCTTATTATGCAAAAAACAATATTTGTATTTTTTGCAGTACAAAGCTATTCGACGAGTTATATGCCGTTTTTCGCCTTTGTTTTACATATTTCTGGATACCTTTCAGCTTGGTTTCATCGTTGTTATCATAGTTTTCAGGTTAGGAAGTTTTGCCTTTCAATTGAGGCGTTTTTGTGGTGTTTTCATTAATCTTTTTGGCTGCTTTCGTCGGAGAAGTATGGAAAAGGCCGACACAAACTCATGTAAAAATTTAGTTTTTCCAAACTATTTCGTCTCAAGTTTTGAAAATGTATTTCATTTTTCTCCCTCTTATTTGTGCAAAATTTGGCGATATATATTTGGTGCAAAATCTATGTTTTTTTTATGTCAAAAATTATTGAAAAGTGACAGTCAGATTATATAATTTTCAAACCTTATGACTGAAATGGCTTCATTTATTCAAATTTATTCACAAATATCTCTGTATTTTTTTTTCTTTATACCACAGTAATACTGTTAAAATGGTCAAAAGTAACTGACTGAAATGTTTTTGTTTATTTTCGTTTTAATAAAGTACAGACGATGCATAGCTTGCATGCCAGCCTGAAGGCCGAATTTTATAAAAGTCGAATTCGAATGCATCTGAGTTTGCATCTGAATTCTGCATTTTTGTTATAGTACAAAACACTATTCTTTCTATCTACTACCATGCAATAGATGTTTAATAAGGGTTAACCAGGAATACTTGAATAAAGGTGTATCTTAAAAAACGCTGCAGCTCGCATTGTGGCTACCTTTATAGTATGTTATTGCGGGAAAAGGAATATTCAAACGGCAATTCAAATAGACAATGATATTATGTCTTGGTTATAAGTATTTTACTATCCATGTCATGCATGTGTGCCAAGTTGAAGAGTTGTTTTGCTTTTCAGTCGGCATCACATCACATGTACTGTAGTCCATATACACAGGAAAAATAAGCATAAAACTCCGTTGCTTATTTTATCTCTTATAGTTTTTGTCAACAGATTTCTACTATTTCTTTTGCTGAGCTGTAAAATTGCTGTCAAATTACATCTTATCGATCGATAAAATTGGTATAAAAAAATTTTAGATGAGAAATGTGAACATGGTGGTTTGCTCGATCGTGACTTTTCAATAATTTTTGACATAAAAAAACATAGATTCAAATATATATCGCCAAATTTTGGACAAATAAGAGGAAGAAAAATGAAATACATTTTCAAAAGTTGAGACGAAATAGTTTGGAAAAACTGAACTTTTACCTGAGTTTGTGTCGGCCTTTTCTATATTTCCCCGACGAAAGCAGCCAAAAAGATTAATGAAAACACCACAAAAACGCCTCAATTGAAAGGCAAAACTTCCTAACCTGAAAACTATGATAACAACGATGAAACCAAGCTGAAAGGTATCCAGAAATATGTAAAACAAAGGCGAAAAACGGCATATAACTCGTCGAATAGCTTTGTACTGCAAAAAATACAAATATTGTTTTTTGCATAATAAGCCTCGTTTCCATGTTGAGCGAAGGCGCGGTTACTAAGTTTCGCAATTGGTCTATTCATCGGTAAATATCATTTATATTCACTGATGCCATGGATATTGAGTTAAATCAAGAAATCACCGTGATTCTGACGCGATAATGAACCATGTTCTCGACGAGAGACACGTAGGAAACACAAAGAAGTCGAAGTAATGCTAAAATCGTCTGTAATTTATTTTACGCCTTGCTCCAGTATTTTTACAGTATTTATATATATATATATATATATTATATATATTTTTGCGAAAACTTCTGTCTGAACAATTCTTGTTAGTATTTTTGCACAAGTGAACATAACAAATTTTACATTCTGACTGGTCAAATTTGACGTATTATAAAATGGCGACTAGCCGTTTTGTAGACGTTTCTTACAAAGAGATAAGCAAACAAATGCAGTTCTTGTGTCAATTAACTTGTGAAAAAATACTAAGACAATTATTTGCCTTAGACTCGGTGATTATCGGAAAATATTCTCCGATAATCACCTCGCCTTCGGCGAATAATTGTTGAATATCATGCTCAGTCTCCAAGAGGCTAGAATAATTGTTTGATATTATTATATTCAGTTACACCATTATATTATGATCGCATACACAAAAACAGCAAGCGCATGATCGTTTTTTGAAGGTTGTGCAGGAATATCTCAAAACTGATTTGGACGGATTTTCATCTCCGTCTTTTTCATTGAATAATGGGACTTTTTCCAATGGTACCAGCTTATTCCGGTGGCATTAATTTGACCTGCACCAAGGTACAGGCCGTTGAGGTTGGATGAATGGCATTTTTTGTACCACCAAGCTCCTCGCCACGTAATAGCACAATTGCGAATACTTTCATCATTGTCGCTATCCTTGGAAGTGAACTGCATTTGATTGTGAGAACCGAGGGAATTACCCGCGTCACCTTTTAAGGAAATAGACAAAATACTGTGTTCATTTTTTCTGTTTCTATTTATAATTTTAATAAACTTTCCAGAAAATACGAGGTCTTTGCCGTAGAAAAAAAATTAATTACACTTCTTCTGCATACTGCATCTTACATGGGT